ATCGTTAAATAAAGAGTTTATAGGTGCTCTTCAAAGAGTGCATAGCACATACCACATTAAATTTCGTAATCGGTTGATGGGTATTGAAGCTGAAATTCATTGGATGGGAATTATTACGAGTTGATTGAACGATTCATACTGACAAAACATGTGGCCTCAAGCAGAATATAGCATGAGTAAACATGAGTACAGTGGAACGTTAAGTTATCATCACTACTTTTGCATTTGCATAACATTTCCAGTGACATTCATATTGTGATAATGAATATTTAATGAATCCATGATACTGACGAAGAGAAGGAGTCATGTAAGCATCAAAGTGAAATGGTATTACTGAGTGGATTCAAAGCATGCAAGTTATTGATGAACTTCATTTGAATATCACCACCTTCAGATGATATAAGATGTGTATGTATACTCGAATAGCAACAATGAATTTTTTATTGACTAGAAATATGAAATTATTAAATCCACATGCAACTGTGATTTTGTCCAAAATTTCCGTAATAACAATAATAATTATTATTAGTATAATTATAATATGTTTTCTTCGTATAGAATGTTTACACAAACAATGTCAAGATAAGAACGGATTCATATGAATGAACAAACGGCGATGCGAATCAACGCAAAACACAGCTCAACATTAGAACAACCGTATTTCAAAAGCGAGAAGAAGGAAGCTATCAGCGAACTTTTAAAAGCAAAAGAAGCTTTTACATATATATGTGAAATTTATTTATTAAAAAGCAATACGACAACTTCATTTGTTTGTTCAATGAAAATCACAATGTGAAATAATATAACTAGACAGAAAAGTAAATCCATACAAATAAATGGCACAATAATAATTCTTTCAAGTGCGACTGTAACAAGGCAGCTTTCAATTTGACGCTTTAGAGTTCCGTTTGATACAAAAGAATGAACGAGTGAAATGAGAAACAAAATAAAAGCGACGATACGGTATCATATCAAAATGAAATATATAATAAGCAACAATATTTACAATTAAGCGATTAATATTAGTTCGAAGAATACGACCGATTGCAAAACAGTCACTGAATGCGGCCATAAGTTTTCGTCAGAAGAACGGTAATGTAGCAAGCATCCAATGGAAAAAGCATAGCAACTGTGGTGAGGTTGGCAGCAGCCAATTGAACAACCAAACGCACAGTTGATTTAAGAAAGTGCCGTAATCGGTTACACATTCCTTGATACGAATAAGCCGTACTGAATTGCCTGCATCACATCTGGTGGCCCAGCAGCATAGCCAACCAAATCAACAACATTTCAGACAACAGTATGGCAAAAATTCGAACCGATAAAGAATTGGATGAATGCATGCACATTAGGAATCGCACACAGCACCGCTTTCAGTTAGCATTCGAAAACATTTGTCACATTGCTTATAAATAGTTACAAATATAACGTGATGAAAAACGAAATAGTTTCAACTGAAATGAGCGCAAAAATGAAGAAAAAACAAGGAGAAAATGGCCAAACCGTGAACAAATAATGAAGAAATTATCAACAAAACAGAATGAATACAACTTGTAATATTATTTAGAATAGCAATATAATTTAGAAGCAATAATAAAAAATTCTTTGATAGATGAAATACGATATCAGGCACAAAATATAGCACCAATAAGCACACACATGAAACGAGGATACAGCTGAAAGGATAGAAAATTTTTAAAAATTTGGACAAATCCAGCAAGGCATTCATAGCTGAAGAAGTGTTATGCGTTGCACGTTGAAATAATACATTATTGGTCGTTTATATACATCATTTTTTCGTGTACTGAATACGATGATGCATAAGAAGGCACAGTATTTTGAATATGCTAAATCAAAGGCAACTGGGCGATAACTTCAAGTTGAGCTCGATTTAGAAATGAAATGATGATGATAGAAGTATCTAATGTCATGAATAAACTGTCGTCCGCTTGGCTCGTTGAGATCGTTTTTTTTTNTTTTTTTTTATCTGGTCTGAATGGTAAGTTTTGCTTGGCATTGTGCAGCTCCCATTGCGTTTCGAATAGTTATAGAGTAGTTGCCAGCGTTCGCCATTGCAATTCGTTGAATTTCCAATGTCGCTTTGTTACCCACCAATGAAATCTACAACAAAGTAGTCACAGTCGTCAAACTAACTTTCACATTTCGAAGTGATTCCAAAAACTTTATTAATTCTACTTTTTGAGCACGGTATTAAACTCGTAAATGACTGATCAGTTTACCTTATGGTCACGACCATTATAGATTGGCTTTCCATTGAATTGCCACGCCACACTTGGTTGTGGATCACCAGAAATTTCAGCGACAAACTTTACCGTATGTCCTGTAATCAATCACATCGCTGAAAGCATCCTTCAAGTTTTATCACATTTCATAAGAAACTCGAAAGCAACCGAGTCCTCTATAAGCAGTTGCCATCCAATCGAAAAATGAAGATCCATGAATTTAATGTGAATTACCAGGTCGAGCGGTAATATCAGAAAGTTTTGAGATGAATTGCGGCGATCCAGATAGCGGTTTTGTTTTTGGTGGTGGCTGAGGGGGACCTGCTTTGGCACCAGTTTTGGTAGCAATAACTTGGCGAGCAGCTCCAGTTTTCGCTAAAATCAATGTTTTTTTTTAGTATTTGACAACAGAGTCGCTGATCTGTGAAGGAATCAAACACAGATAGGTGAAGTACATCAGAAATCGAATCGACTATCAAAACCACTCAAACATATTTGCTAGTCGCACAAGACGGTGAATCATGCACCACTTTTTGTACATTCAAAATACTCACTACAATTTCACGATGCAATGCTTAACGTCGAGAATCGAACACTGCTATCAATAGAATGTGAAGAAAACTTGATTAAAACGGAAGAAATGAATGTAAAAGCAGATATAACGCACGTGATAATGTCAGGTTAGCCACGCTTATTGCTTTACCAGCTGGATTGGATGCTTCAACTTTGTATTCAGCAACATCTTCGTGATAGCATTGGCTGATGCGGAACACCGCCTCACCATGTGCTTGCGTTAACGTAAGGAATTTACTCTCCTTGACTGGTTCGTTATTACGGTACCATCGAATCACAGGATCTCAAATAAGCATAAAAAATGGTCAGCATTCTTGTCGATGAAATTGAACTCAATGAATATGATTGACAGCAGAGCACATTAGGGTAATAAAGCGAATGCGTTGATCGTACAAGCCTATATATGTATGTGACGGAATACATTACCAGGTGATCCTGTGTATTTGATCCGGAACTCGGCTGGTCCGCCTTCCTGAGCTATGACCGGTTGAATTTGGGACTGGAAACGTGGTGCTTCCAGTCGTGGTCCTACTTCGGCTCCTTGACCGGTTGTCGCTAGGATAATATTCAAACGAGCCTTGCACCTTAATAACGACATCCGATATTATCTAGAACCTGTTGATGTCGGCGAAAAGGCTACAAGCCTGTGTTCAGCGGTACATTCAAAATGCTCATTTGAACTGATCATTCTGTCCCATCGCCGTTCAACAAAACGTTATCTAAGTAATGCGGGAAGCACGAGGTGAGCGGTTGCTATCATATGTTTAAGCAATGGTAATGCCTTCTGTGCTTGCAATAATTATGAGTGGCTAGCACATAATAGAAACTAAAGGAGCACAATGTTACCTAGCCTCTCCAGCCGCGTTCTTTGCGACACATTCATAAACACCTCCATCCTGTGGCAGGGTATCGGTGAGTCTCAACGAATGCTTCTCACCATCCTGTATGATTTGATATCGACCATCGTTTGGTAGTTGTTTCCCATCCTGAAATATTCACGACCGATATTTCACATATTCATCTCACTGTTTTTCCACCTTATGAGAGTCTACTTTTTTTCGCCTGAACGATGACGACGTATCAAAGGCCATGAAAACCCTTTGGGGAAATGTACCTTGAACCAACTGGTTGATGGCTCTGGTGTTCCAGCAACAACACATGTGAACACTGACGGTGAATTTTGCTGAATCCTTAAATCGTTGATTCGTTGTTTGAAACTGGGCGCTATTCCACGATCAACTGGTTTAGCAACGGTCAGATTGGCCATTGATTCAACCGTACCGGCAACATTTTCGATACGACACACATATTCACCCGAATATTCTGGTTTCAACTTCGAAATGGACAGTGTTGATCCGGTATTTGTTGTGTTCACCTGAAAAATAAAGCAACAATCCTTATCGATGTCACTGAAAATATCTCACGGATGAAGGATCACTGAAAGAAAATCAAACCTGGAACTCGAAGCTTGGTTTAATTTCCTTTCCATCTCTTAGCCAAGTGACAGTCATCGGATGTGCACCATCGAATCCACAGAAGAATCGCGCATTTCGGCCGAGGTCCACTTGAACCGGCTTCAACTGTTGCGTGACTTGAGGCGGAGGCTTATGTGTCTGACCCATCTTTGTTGGTTGAGGCTAAATGATAGCGAGCGATAGGAAATTCTCAAACAAAAATGTTCAAAAACGAAAGGAACACCACATTCAGCCAACGTGATATTCAGATTACATTGAAGGTACGAACGAACGAAAAACAATCACAAATGTTCTTCTTCCCATGCGCAAGCAACAACACTAACCGAAATGAATTGATTCGGAATAATGAAAACAAGAGTAATCTGAACAAGGAAAACAAGATCCTGAGACATGAGAACCCAAATATGTGATCTTGAAATATGCTCAATTCAGTTGATGTGATACGCGTCAAGAAAAACTGAGGACAACGGACAAGGAGTAGTCAGCGGAAAACTTACAGTTGAATTGAAGTTATCAATTGAGAACGTTTAAAATAATGAAAATCATGCACAAACAAACGATGTGCATACACGAATGATATGGTATCCGATAACTCGCTCGGCGCGTCGTGGACTGTAATCGAAACGTGTCGTTTTAGTATCGCTACCGTCTGTATCAGGATCGTTAATATTGATTTCGATTGTTGAGTGTTCAACATGTTCACGATAAGTTTGATAGAGAACTCGATGCTGAACGTGAATTAAAACACAACTTCAAAAAACATTCAACATCACAAGAACATGCTTTCAACGAAACCAATAAAACAAAGTGAAAACAAATAAACGGAAACACTCTCCATATCACCAGTTAATTTGAAATATCACAACATACAACGCATGAGACAACAAAAGCCCGAACATAGTACTAATATCTCGGAGTAGACTAGGGACCCATGATTACTCTTACTAATGTCGGAAAATGATAACAGTAAATGAAACTGAAGTGAATTCGGCTACTTTCAGCGATATTAGAGAATGGTAATGAAATAGACTTCAGAATAAACGAAAACTGCATGCATTTTCGAGGGAATCGCTCGGATAAGCCATGCAAATTACTCACAGATGACATAGTAAGATATATGGAATACATTAATATTAAAAAATGCAAGCATCTGCATATTTTCGTGCAATAAACTCACTTTTGAGGATATTGTTGACTCAGCAACTTTTCTGTAACAATACGAATCATTAGTTGGTGGGTATATTCGTTTCATGCGAAATCACAAATCAGTAACAACTGAGCAATAAATATGAGTTGTAATTGGTGGAAAAACATTTTGCTTCGTTTCCTCTCATTTACGGATTCTAGAAACACACCAAAAGTCGCTGTAAATGCTTACCCTTTGACAACTGGTGGAATATCCTTGAGAGGTTCGCTTTCTATAGTTGGTGCTTCCGATGGTTTGATCACCTTTGTGTGGAACTTCTGCTTGATTTGCACTTGATCTTTGGCAGGTACTGATACCTGAACCGATCATTCGATAACGCATTTGGGAATAACAACAATTCAGCTAAAGACAATTAATGAATGGATATCAAACGGGAAAATATCGAATGAGTATTGCGAAGTGAAGAGGAGTGATACCTCTTTAGGTACTTCTGGTCCTTGCACAACAGGAGCCAATTTCGCTTTGTCCTTCTCAATTTCAACGTGTCCAATTTCGGTTGGAGGATTCGGTTTTGCAGCCTTCAAATGAATTTGGTCTCTAGCTGGGAGTTCGCTTCTTTTCTCAGGCTCAGCCATACGATTGAATCTAAAATGAGAATTCGATTTTTACTCTAAATTTCAAAATGAATTACAACTTTGAAAAATTCGGATTTCTAGCAGCGTTCTCAGCGAATACACTGTTAGGCATAAATAACAATTAGGATTAACACCATTTCACAATTGCTCCAAAAACACCGTCACACAACAGAAACCCATATGATAGATTCAAAACATTAACAGATGAAGGTTCTCGGAATAAAATCGCAAGTTGCTTGTGATGTTGTTCAGTATCAACTCACTAACCTTCCTTCAACATCGCCCAGTTTTTTGTCGGTTGCCCATGATGGTTGCGGTACTGCAGCGCCAGTCGGGATGGACGGCTTTTCGGTTTTAGGTATCTGCTTCAACTGAACACTTTCCATCGCCTCTTTCGGCGGCTCATATTTCGAGATTTGTCCAGGTTTAAGTGCAACTGAAGGCAGCTCCATACCTTTAAATGTTGGTTTTGCTGTCTCTACCTGAAACGTGAACAATTCACAAGTGATTCGATGAAAGCAGAAATGTATTATCAATTTTAGTTAGATTTAATATCGCCTTCCGTTCCATATCTTCTTCGGATCAATAACTCGATAGCAAATGCCAGAAACGTGCTAAAATATGCGAATTGTTAAAGAGTTTTCTTGACTGTTCTTACATATGTCAATTGATCGTAGAATTGATCATCTTTTGGTCGAGTGAACTTGCCCATTAGTTCCTCGCTTTCTAGCGGTTCAATAGGCGAATGGGCTCGTTCAACCTTCCTCAATTTTTGCTGATCAGGACGAGGAGCACTTTCGAATGCTTCGCCTAACTTACCCAACGTTTCCTGAAACAAGCGATCATGACTGAAATAATGTTTGGCTGATACCTGTTATAAGACTTTCGTAATTACATGACATCAATGCCACAGTCTAGGAACCACGTTTTTGTGCAGATAACTCATGTGAATTACCTTCTGCCAACTGATTTCTCTTTGTTGTAACTCTTCGATTGTTTTGAATGACGTTGGTTTCAGCTTCAGCTGACGGAAGTCTTTCTTCTGGAATACATCCAGTATTGCTGATGCCATCATCTCTCCCTCTGAATTCTTTGCGATAACCACGATCTGCAACATGAATTCAAGAAATGCCATGCAATGATTACTTAAGTCCTTGTTCCAAATGTATGCTTTCGAAAAGATCGATCGACAAAAACCATTTTAGCTATGGGCAATTAGCAGCACTTAATTGTGATCTTCTTTTGGTTCCACTTCATAGGTGAAGCAAATTTTGAGTTGAACAGGCCTTCCATATAAACACTTCATTCAGTCAAGAGTCTCGAATGAATTTATCGAGCGAACTGATTGAATGGATTTAGAAGTGACGAAATTGTCCAATAGAAAAACTTGAACATTTAAGGGCAAATAGTCAACGAGCTCACTCACCTCTCCAGCATCCGAAATTCTCGTATTCGAAATGGTCAAATAGTAGACACCGTCATAATGCAGTTTGTAACGATGACCCTGCAAAACAACTCAGAATGAGACAAAAACAGAATGAGTGAAACTTGCACAGAAAAACCTAAATTAGAATAGAACATTAACCTGAATCGCTTGGTTGCCGTTTATGTACCAAATGACCTTTGCTTTCGGATTAGCAACGACGGCACATTCGAACCGGGCCGGTTCATTTTCGATGGCTTGCGTATTTCTGGGTCGGATAGTGAATTGAGGTGCTTGCTTAGCACGACCTTGTTCCACTTTGATTTGCTCTGACCTGACATAATTCTCACTTGAATCCAACCAAGTATTGTCAAAATGTGAAACTGCGCTGAACGTTCAGGCATGTTTCCGATGTTTTTGAAGAATTCTGATGTTGACTGAATCACAAACTGCTCTTAGCGAGAGAAATGAGAAGTTGAAAATGTGCAGAAATAATTTCAGCATACCAATAGAGTTGTTCACCAAGATTTTTAACGTCCGATACGAGAACGCCTTGTGGCAATTGCGTTTCAGTGATGATATGTTTAGAGCCTGAGCACGCCAGTTTGGCAGTCAAAACTCCTTGACCAAAACGATTCGTTGCAACACAAGTATATTCGCCAGTATCATCCGGTAGCGCGTATAGAATCGATAAACAAACGAAACCGAAGTCAACAGTTGATCGGAAACGATGACCTGCAATCATATTCCAAGCTAGGAAAAGATCTCACTACCGTCAATTGATAGCCGAAAAAATCACGTCTCGATAAATTTCTGATATTTCCTCCTAAACTAAATTTAAAAACGAAACTGAAATATGAAGTTACTTGGTAAACTGATTTTTCTTTTCGAAAATACTTTTAGACCAACCAAGAAGAACTGGTTTTCCATCTTTGAACCATTCGACCTTCATGTAAGGATCATTAACAGGCGCGAGTTGCGTTTCAAATCGGCAATATTCTCCTTCCTCAACGCCCACATTCGTCATTTGGATCTTAAATTCGGGTGGACGTTGCGCTTTCTCATCGTAAGCGTCTTCTTTGGAGAGAACAAGCGCTGACATCGTATGCTGACGAAGATGACTCTCAATGCTATCAATATCGGCACCTGGCGCTTGTGGACCGAATTCAAGCGACGGTTTCGGTACTACCTGCAGACATTGAAAAAATTACTAACAAAATTCTTCTCATATGTTCCTTCCAGATGACTCTTGTAGAATAATCCCAAAACTTAAATTCCTTCTGATTTGGCTATTACGCATGAGGTGTTGTCATGGAATCCCTTATAGTAATATAACAAAAAGTGAAGCAAGTGCGTTGACATCACGTAGAATTTGTTGACTAAAACCAAGAGTTCGACACAGCAAGAGTGCTTGCTTGCATGTGCAAATCAACGAGTTTTCACAGGGAACCCGCATCAAGTAACACCTACATTGATGGTTGTCTTTGTGCGTGTTTCACCCTTATCGTTCACAACAACGCATTCGTAGACTCCGTTGTCCTCCGGATACGCATAGAGAATGTCCAGTGTCACAAATCCGAATTCCAATGACGGTTTGAAACGTGACGCTTCCGGTAGAGGTGCACCATTCTTGTACCACTTTATGGATAGGTTTGAATCGTTTATTGGTGCCACTCTGCATTCCAAATGAACCGAATCACCTTCCTGAAATGCAGTCATTTTCGGTTCGTGAAACCTTTTTGCTGTTAACCGTCAATTACTGATGCGAACTAAACGCTGACTAAACACTTGAGGTATTGTGTTTCGGAAATGCAGTGAACCACTCCTATGAAAAGTATTGCAAGAAAATGAGGTGAAATTAACCGGAATATCATCGATCTTATCAACAAGCGGTTGAAGGATTTGCGGAGAATCGATCTGAATTGCTGAGGAGACATTGATTCGACCGACAGTTTCGGCTTGACCTTTTGCATTACGTGCGACACACCTTAACAGCTCAGCTTTATTTATTAGTTCTGAATGCGAAAAAAATCATGGGTATATGGCCTCAGGACCAATAAAGCATGTCAATTCAAAACATACACTCTTATTCTCAAGTTTTCAAAATTTTTATGAAGCACACAAAGAATCGAGCTCATTATGAGGAAAGCTAGACGAAAAAAAGGATTTCGAAGAACAAACTTGTATTCGCCAGTATCCTGAGTGATCAAATGCTTGATCAAAAGTGTACAGACACCAAAATCGTTTGTCATATGAATTCGATTGGAATATGGAATCGCGTGTCCATTATGGAACCATTCAATCCGCAGTGTTGGATCTCCAATTGGCTCAAGAATACATGTGAACGCTGTCGCATCTGCTTCGTTCATCTGAAGGAAGAGCGAGATGAAAATGCAAAGATGCCTTCATTATAATCATAGCCATAGATACTGGCCCTGTTTGCAGGTAATTACCCAACTGTGAATTGCATCACACAACCCTATGATGCAAATAAGCTTTCGAGATACTGTAGAATGTATGACGAAAAACAACCACGTCAATAGCGATGTTCAGAAGTTTAAAGTGACACTAATTCACCTGGCCTAAGTCCTGCAAGTCCTGAGTGAAGTGTGGTGCTTCATACTCTTGTTGTGGCTGATCAAGACCCTCAGTTGGTCTATGAATCCATTCCTCTAGTTGCGTTATACGTTCTTTCCGTTCAGCCGGACTCAACCAGTCATATGAGACACCGCTTGTTCCTTTCACCTGAAAATGATCAAGTCTGTGGCCAAATGCTCTAAGTGTATTAAAGTAATCGCTTTTCAAACGTTACATCTCTTCGTGTACCATAAATATCATCAGAATAAACTGAGAAGAACTGTGAAGAATCCCAGAACGAAAAACCATCAGAACGAAAACATATATCCGAGACAAGACACGAATAGGTGCACTGTGGTGGAACCATCTACTGCTAGGATATCACTAAAACAATATTCAAGTTCAAATTAATTGCCTGAATATCACTGGATGTTTCGGCAGTTCCTTTCGAGTTGGTTGCTTTGCACACCCATTTACCAGAATCTTGCGGCTCAACCGGTGAAAGTTCCATGACAACGAAACCAAAATCGTGAATGTTCTTCATTCGAGCGGTTTGCTTGACTGGATGTCCGTTGTGGAACCATTCAATCTTCAAACGTGGATCAGCAACTGGTTCTACTTGTGCTTCCAGATGTGCCACTTGTCCTTCGATTAGATCCGGTAGGTTCTGTAATAATGTCTTGAATCAATAACCTACCAAACAGCAGTGATTAATGTGATTCAGTGAAACTCTGACTGATGATTTGAATGTTAGAGAAACAATGTCTGGATGGATGGATTCAGACGCTGCAAATAACCTGAAGTTGAGTGACGAAACGTGGTGGTCCATGCTCAATGTCCGGCTTCTCAGGTGCACTTGGTTTTGGTGCTTCGATTTCAACGATACGCCGTTGTGCGCCAGACATACTCTCAGGCAACTGTGAACTGGTGATAATCTTCTGTTTTGGCGAACAGGTAAGTTGAGTACTTGTAACTGCTTCACCAATCTGAAGCAGATGTTTAATTGATATTTTTTCAGACTACAGTAGGTGCTCAGATTGATCAGATGATTCATTCGCAATGAAAATGCAGTTAAGAGCAAGGCTCGTGAACAGCACAATTGAATTACTCGATTGATTGCGCGACATGTGTACTCGCCAGAATCTTCAGGATACGTTGGTGAAATTTCGAGCACAACAAAACCAAAGTCACTGATCGACTTCACCCTGCTACTGATCTTCAACGGTTTTCCGTTTAAGAACCACTGAATCTGAAAAAAAAGTTTTGATTGACCTATTGTAATAGGACGGAAACTGCTTTATTATGTTCAAACGTGCCGTCATTGTAACCTCTTTTGCATGGAGAATATACGTTGTTCAGAATCCGAGTACTCATCTTGACGAAACGAATTTTAGAAGCGCATTATGATCGAGAGACTATGAAAGGTTTAAGAAGGGTATTCATTAGAAGTCGCAGCGATGATTGTGACGGGATGAATTAGGTGTACCTGTAGTTGATTGTCATTGAGAGGTTCGTATCGTGCCGAGAAATGTACTCGGTCACCTTCTTCGCAACTGACCGGAGCCGAGAGAGGCTCGATAAAAACGGGCACTGTTTTTTGCTCATCCACAACCGCTTCTTCTGGTGCACGATGCAATGCATCTTCGAGTTTCTGTACAGCACGAGCCTTACCTTCATCCTTCAAGATATCAGAATACATGAAATATTCAAATATTTCAGCATCACCAACATCAATGCACCATGACAACAAATGACAGCAGCAGATCGCTGTTCAGAGAACTCATTTTTGAAACTGGTATGCATGACTGATTTTTTTCGAACAGTGGTCAAAAAATTTTCGAAGACTTAATGTAAAACGCCGATTGAGCGATTTGTATCCGTTAGACGATAATATAAGATGATTATCAAGATAAGAACCTGAGGTTGTAGCAGTAGATTTTCTTTCACAGCAATATCTAGCACAGCTGATGAAACCGCTTCACCGGCGTCATTACTCACTTTCATTGTGTATTCGCCAGCATCCTAGAAAAAAATTCGATACGATTTCAGTAAGAAGCAAAGCAAATAAATGAGGTGTTCATGACTACTGCAGAGGTGATTTCAGTTCAAAAGCGGTCGTATGATTCACTAATGCTGGTCGTTTTTCACATTTGATAAATTCCCACACTACTGTTAAGCAAGAATAAACACCTGAGCAAAGAGATGTAGAATATCGAGTATAGCAAAACCAAAGTCTTGCACCATCTTGTAGCGATTGGCGTGGTATAATGGTTGACCATTGCGGAACCATTCCACTTTAAGCGTAGGATCATCAACAGGCGTATACTGAGCTTCCAGATGTGCACTATCGCCCTCTGATAGATTTGGAGGACTTTGCAATTGTACACTGATTTTTGGTGCTCCGTACACCTAAATTTTCTGAATTATCAAACCAGAAGGCCGAATGCTTTTTGTTTGAAAACAACTTTATCATTATTGTTGTGAGCCTGAGCCAGGCTATGATCCGGCTTGTATCTATTATTCAATTATCTGTTATTATTCCTTATGTTGTCGTGATCGCGAACAGATCAGTTCGCTCTGNGGAAAGTTTCGCTTGAAACCGAGTGGTGTACCAATACCATTAATGTTGTGAGCCTGAGCCGGGCTATGATCCGCCTTGTATCTATTATCCAACTTTATCAAATAAAATAAGATAGCATACTCGATAACCTGGATACAAATAATTCGTCACTGTTACCTTGGTTGGTGCCTCCTCGGGCATCGCTTTGGGAGCCTCGATTTCACGGATTCTCTGCAAGCTCTGCGGCTGAATCGAATCAAATACAATGTTCTCGCGACCTAATACATTCACTGTTGCTGAGCACTTCGCTTCACCTGCTGAATTTACGGCCACGCAAGTCCATTCGCCCGAGTCTCGAGGTTCAGTCTGATTGATATCCAGAATGATCCAACCAAAATCGCTAATCATCTTCACTCGTGAACTTGCTGTCACAGGTGCACCGTTCAAGTACCTCAAACAATTTATTCGTGCTAATGCAATGAACTAATAATGGGCAGAAACAGCTGAATTCACTGCAGTAAATCAAAACTCATTAGCATTACCGAGTCATGCATTCATGGAAGAACAATTACAGAGGAAACAAAAAGTACCAGTGAATCTTAAGATCTGCATCGTCAATGGGTTCAACGGTTGCTTCGAAGTGAGCCGGTTGACCTTCGTAGAGATCATGTATGTTTTGTATTTGAGTGATAAACTTCGGTGGTGTTTTGGGTGCTGGTGCCATCTCGGGAACTGGAGCTTTGGGTGCTTCAATTTCCTGAAATCATTCATGGCTTGATGAAATTCCCCACGCAAAATCAGCTGTGCGAAACGTCTGAGACTTTACAAGTGGTAAGTAACGGAGAATTTATTCGTGCTAATGCAATGGAAGAAAATGAATTACAGACAATCAGTGTGCTTTAGGTTCGTCACCGTATAGTGGTGTACTGTGAAGCTTTCACTTAATAATGATCATTGCTGATACAAGCTGCTGAAACAGACCTGGATTCTTCGCCATGATTCTTCATGCTGGGTATCACCAAGAATTGCATCCTTACCATGGCACTTCAGCGTTGCACTTGATACTGCTTCGCCGTTTTCATTGGTGACACGAAGTTGATAAATACCCTAAGATGAGTTTGCTGTATCAATATGTCATTCATGCTACACAACCCATTAAACACTCGAGTTTCTCTTTGTTTTCACAAAATGAACTGACCACATCCCAAACGAAAAATTAGCTCATTTTAAAATAACACTGAAGGAATCGATTCCAACCTGGTCTTCTGGGAAGGTGTAGCCGATGTCGAGGGTACAGAAACCGAAATCTTGTGAGATGGCATATTTAGAGCCATGAGCTAGTGGTTGACCATTGCGGTACCATACGGCCACAAGACGTGGATCATTTGTCGGAGTAATAACTGCCTCGAAGTGCGATGGTTCTCCTTCGTTACACTCCAAGTCGACGATTTGCGTTTGAATGGATGGTGCATCATATACGGGTGCGGGTGCTTCTATAATCTATTTCATACAGCAAACTGACCCCAAGGCTTTGGACGACCCTGATCAGATTTTGATGTCTGAATGTACATTCAAGTGTACAATGTACTGATATTTCACATCTATTTCAGCATCAATTCAAACAACTCTGAACGAATATCAAACCTTCAGGCATCTCTTTTGGTGCTTCAATCTCTTGGATTCTTCTCCACGACTCTTCATGACTTGTATCTGTCAATACGTCGCCGACGCCAGCCACCTGTATTCAGAATACGTCAAAGTTTATTCGTCAACACTTCGTCACTGCTTTGATCAAGAAACACCTTTCATGATCTCCAATGCTGTTCTTTTCAAGCAACAAGGAATTGTTTCACCCAACAATAAGATATTAATCAGATATTTTGAATCCTCTATTGTTATGACCGAAAAATTTCTTGTCATACTGACTGAATTTGTCGAGCGCTATGTGATCACCTTGATTGAAGCAGATGACGCAGCCTCTCCTTCACTATTGACAATCTTCAGTGTGTAGATGCCATTATGATCCAAATTGACACCGTTGATATCAAGTGCAGCCCATCCCAATTCACTACGTGTCTTAATCAGCTGGCTTGCACCTAATGGTTGTCCGTTTCTCAACCAAATCACCTTAACAAATAAACACTTTGGCAAACTGTTTCATTGTCTCGCAAAGTCTGACTGATGTGGTTTAAAATAACTTTTTAAATTTCTGATGGATAAAATTATGTACCTTGAGATCTGGGTCTCGAGCTGGTTGGAATGTCGCTTCGAGATGAACAACTTCACCTTCAGGAATGTCAGTGAATGATTCAAGCTGCGAAAGGAATCTTGGTTTTTCCTTCTCGACCACCTCTTCGACTTCTTCAGGTACAATAGGTGTTTCAAGAACTTGGATTTGTTCCCATGATACTGGATGTTGGGTATCGCGCAAAATAGCTTCGTATCCTGCAATCCACTATTCACAATTTTTCATCCATTTCACATGCGATTTTTGCCTCCTCAGAGTCGTTTAATGACGTTTAGTGATCTGTTCATGAAGTAGGATTGATTATTTCACTGCCAATTCTTTCATGAATACGATCACAAGCTATCTGACACCGCGCACAAAAACCCCACAAATTTGTGCTTGCATATTGATGGATTTGATGCGAAATCATCCAATGACCATATGCATGCTGAGGTATTTATGGAAAAGCACTAACCAGCAACTTTGACAGTAGCACTGGTTGATGCATCACCAGATCGGTTGATTGCTTTGCAAGTATACAATCCAGAATCTTGTGGAAGTACATGAACGATTGTTAACGTTACATTGCCGAATTCATACTCTTGGCGATAGCGATTCGCTGAAATTTTTGATGAATCCTCATGCAATCGCCATTGAAGTTATACGACAAGCAAGAGCTTAATAAATTTCTTCTCATAGAACTAAATGATTTCGTAAAATTACGCGGACATTCTCTCAACGGAGAACTATGCGGAGCTAACTGACGTTCTCGTGAATGCTAATTGAAAAGAGCACGATCCCTAGAAGTGAACAGGAATGATACCAAAGCAAGTCAAATTCGAATGAGCTTTTGATAGACAGAAGCTTACAGTTCATTAGTGGTGCTCCATTGAGGAACCATTCGATTTTCATATTTGGATCACCGGATGGCTCAACATTGCCGCTAAGGTGGACAATTTCACCTTCTGGTAGGTCGTCGATGTTATCGAATGACTGTACCCATACGGGTTTGTCAAATTCCATTTCGGGCATCTCAAGACGTGGGAATTTATCAAGAGATTCCAACTGTTGAATCTTTTGGAGTGAATCTGGATGTTGCGTGTCCATTTGCAGACTCTCCTCTCCTGGAGACAATAAAATTGCGGAAAAACATTCGATATTCCATCCACGAATATTTCAGCGCATTCATTTTTCCCCGGTTCTCAGCTTCTTTGAACTTATTATGGTGAGATTATCAACTCAATGGGCTTGAGGTTATTCCAAACAACAAAATTTCCCACTAACTGTTTTGTTTAACCGCACCCTAACTGCGAGTACACAGTTTTTTCAAAACCAACGGTATTCCTTTGTGCTGTGTAAACTCATTCAAGAGACACGTTCAAACAATTTGTTTCATGTCGAAGGTTCATTAGGTGAGGGTTTCATCTTATGGTCAAATGTGTATGCATATCCATGAAAAATACCTATCACGGACAACGATGCGCTTGTTATGGCAGTGCCTTGTTGGTTCACAGCTTTGCAAGAGTAGACGCCACTGTGGTGTGGATAAACAGGGGCGATTCGTAGTCCTACGCAACCGAAGTCATTGGTCATCGTATACCAATTGCTCTGTTGCAAGGGAGCATCGTTGTGGAACCTGTGTTTGTCAGAAAGTTCAACTCGAAGAGATCACTGCTTCTCAATCGATTCGGTGTTGAACGAGAAAATACGAACGCATTGGTTGGATAAATTACAGTCAAAGAATTTGGTGTCACTGAGAGAGAGATGAGGCAGTTCAACGTACCAAAGTATTTGCAGATTAGGATCGTTGACTGGAACAACTCTAGCTTGTAGTAGAGCGATTCCGCCTTCCGGTACATCGGCAATACTCTGCAGTGGCTGCGTGAACGTTGGTTTTGCATAAACTGTAGGCTCAGGTGCAGCTGGAGCAGCCTTTGGTGCTTCGATCGCCTATAAATGAACTCATCCGAATCAAACCATGAAAAAATGGTGAAACTAAACTCAATGCTTAGATAAACATTCTGACTGAGCTTCAATAGTCTCAGCGCAAGCGCTTACAAAGGCGATAAAGAAGACATGAAGAATCATCTATGAAATGCTTCATAAATGGAAGCAGCTACCGACCTGAATACGTTTCCAGCTTTCTTCGTGTTGCACGTCACCCAAGATGCTCGCTCTTGTTTGACATTGTAGCTGTGCGCTCGTTGAATCTTCACCTTTTTGGTTGGTTGCAACGCATTTGAATTCACCAATGTCTTCGGGAAGAACATAGTGAATATCGAGCGTTACTAAGCCAAAATCGTTGCGCATTGTCATACGACTAGATGCAGCCAAAGGATGTCCATTGTGGTACCTGTTAAGTTAAAGCATTCCTAGTGAATCACTTGAATACTTCAAATATGCTCCGAAAAACTGGAAATTATAGTCTCGTTTGCCTAGTATATGAGAGGTGATTGCACTAACCAAACAATGACCATTCGAGGATCGCTGATTGGCTCGAAAGTAGCTTCGAAATGAGCCGGTTGTCCCTCAATAAGACCGGTGATTGAGTTGAGTTGAGTGATGAAATGTGGTGGACCCACAACCATTTCAGGTTCTGCTTCCACTTTCTTTTTCGGTTCCTCCAAAATACGAATCTTCTCCCAGCTACTCTGATTTTGTGAATCGCCAAGAATTGCTGAATGAGATTATCATTATTTTTACACTGTGCACAGAACAATTTTGATGGTATGCCCTACTTAATGTACCAATTTAATCGATCACTTATGAGAGGTAAAAATAAAGAAGCCGTTTGCCAGCGGCATAGCTAATTATCGTTTTCAGATCATCCCAATAACATCGGCATCTTCCGTTCAGCACGGATCTCAATCGCAACGTTAATGACCATTAAAAATCGCTCACCAGATCTGCTATTCACAGAGAGTTGCGCATCGATTCGGTCTTCACCTTGATCGTTTGTTGCAACAACCGTATAGTTGCCTGCATCTTCGGGGATTGTATAAGCAATATCCAAGCCGACAAAACCAAAATCTGATGTATGATTGAATCTGTTACTATTTTGTAGTGGTGCACCATCTTTGTACCACTGAATACGCATTTTCGGATCGTTAACTGGCAATACCCTGGAATAGAGACTCATCGCTATAAATTATTTCTGCAGAAACGATTGAGTTCAACAAGAATTCTGACAAATAAATTCCAGGCAAAACGAATGATGAAAAGTTGAACTGTTAAGAAACCTTGTTTCAAAATGCACTGGTTGTCCTTCAATTCTCTCGACCGAATTCATCGGTTCAACGAATTGTGGGGGACCGTGCTTGAGTTCCGGCATCTCTGGAGGCTGTTCTTTGGGTGCCTCAATTTGCTTGATTCTTCGCAAACTTTCTGGATGCTGCGTTTCACCAAGGATTACGGCTTTTCCGGCCACACTGAACGACGTGGACGATTGCGCTTCACCTAAAAACGACAAACAACATATTGTTGAACGAAAGTTTTGGTAATCACTGTGAGCAATAACTGTTCACTACATCACGACTACGGTATACCTTAACCTATAATTTATCCGATTTAAAAGCTCCCATTAGTCACATTTAGTTCAACAAACCGAGTTCATTCTTCACAAGGCACGTCCATTCGCCGCTGTCCTCGGGGAATGCGTAGAGAATATCCAGAGCCACATAACCGAAATCATGCGTCGTGCGAAAACGATGAGCATTAACCAATGGATGACCATTGTGGTACCATTGAACAGTCAATTTGTTGTCATTTGTAGGTTCAATCTGTATAAGCAGCAATGATTCACAACAATAAATACTTTCATAATGGATTAGTGTCTCCGGTATAACTGGGTAAATCGCAACTGTGAAATCAACAATTATGAATCGCACCATTTGTAAGATGTTTTCATATCTGGCCTTGTTCGTTAAAGTGGATAAATGTTCAGAAAACGTAGCAACCGTGATACTGGTAAATTTGATGAAGCAACAAGACACTGCTATATACCTGTGCTTCAAAGTGAACCGGTGCACCTTCGTCGAAATCTCCGAGTTGAGAAGGCAATTGCACAACAAAACGAGGTGGCATTTTTTCAGGCTCCTCATAGATCGGCTCTTCGGGTCGTCGGTTTTCGATATCCTGTATTTGGTTCCATGATTCTTCGTGTTGCGTATCCAGCATAAGCGCATCCGTTGCTGCAAATAATTAATAAACACACATATTTGCTACCTATTGCAATAAACAGCCTCCAACAGATTTTTGTAGTTTGCAATCAAATACTCGAATAACGAAAACATCCATATCGCACGCAGCGATAATGTGCTCGATGCTCATGTGTCCGGAACACAAGCAAGGCTTTTTGCGATTGGCTCAATCAGCTAAACATCGCCTGAAACGTAAATGACGCTCACGTTGACACTTGACGGTACACGATGTAGTCGCTTCACCGAATTCGCTGACTGCTCGGCATGAATACACTCCCGAATCCTCCGGGTAAACTGCCAAAAGATCCAAGTTCACGTAATCAAAGTTTCGTGCCGGCATAAAACGACTTCCTGTAATTGCAACCGTAATAATCATTTGCGAATTTGAGATGTACTGTAGAGAGTACAAAAAGAAAACAATTACAAACCGTCAATTCCCTCTCTCAAATAATCAAAATATTTTTTACACCGCTAAAATTACTTCGATGCAAAATGCGATGCGAGCGAGTGCTGAGTACAGCTCCGGACTAATTATTCATTCAATTAAAAATGCATTTCATGAGTGTCCAGTGAACAATATTCGAGAGGAAAATATAGGGGAATTTTATAAAAACAAATATATTAATTCAGTGGTACTACATTGAAAAAGTGATATACCTTCTGGAATTGGTTGTCCATTGACTGTCCAATACACCTTCAAAGTAGGGTCATTAACTGGCTGCAGGCGACATTCCAGTCGTACGCTCTCACCTTCAACCAGTCCTTCGACGTTCTAAAAACGATATTTAGTGTTCGGTCACAAATGTCGCAACTCTTTTCCCTTTTTCAGTTTCACAACGAATATTTCTTCAAAAGTAAATTTTACGAAAAATTCACACGATTAAGAACAATCGCTCACGTGAGACGACTGATCTTGCAAGGATACTTTCTTGGGGAAATAATGAACAACTTACTTGTAAAGGCTCAGTGAAGGTTGGTGGTGGGAAGACCTGATCAGGTGTAGGCGGTCTGACTTCTTCACGATTCTCAAGTTCTTGAATTTGAGCCCATGACTCAACGTGTTGCGTGTCCAAATAGATGTTTCTGCGAGCTGAAACAATTTCATTAACTGCGGATATCTTCCAACCTGATGGTCGAAAGCTAGCGTGCTATAGTAACTGTCTAATAATCACGAGAGAAAAGTACGATGCCAATTTCTCATGATTATAATCTATTACTGTCCAAATAATTTGTGAGTGATCGACATTAGCGATGTTGAAAATGCACTAACGTTTGCATTCGAAAGCAAATTCGGTAATCGCTTCTCCAGCAGCATTGCTAGCTTTACATGTGTACGTTCCTGTATCTTCGGGATGTACGTGCAAGAATTCCAGACCAACGTATCCAAAATCGTGAATTGTACGAATCCTCGAACCGAACAAAATCGGGTGACCGTTGAGGAACCATTCGATCTGGATGGACAGAACAAATATTATACGACGATTTTTAGTCACTGCAGATGATCACCAATAAATAATATATCTACAGAACTTCTTCCCAACAATGTAACAGGACGTTTGCTGCAGAAGAGAAGAATTATGAAAATCGCAAGTTCCTGAACGAATGGGAAATCAAATTGATGATCGGTAACATCCAAAAACAATCGCTTAACTCACCTTGAGATTCGGATCAGTGATTGGTTGTACCATGCAATCCATATGGACTGATTGTCCTTCTTTCAGAATTTCGGATGGGCCAGTGAGCGGTTGTGTAAAGACGGGTACTTCAGGAACATATTCTTCTTCCTCAGGCTTCGCCGGTTGCATCGCCTCAATTTCCTGGATACGACGTAAGCTCTCTGGATGACTGCTATCGCCGACAATCGATTGTAAACGAATAACGTCAAACTGGGTACTGGTTTCAGCTCGGCCTAAAAACTTTTTATAAGATACTTCGAAAACCTTCTTTGGAATCAGAATTCCTCTCCGGTAGATTGATCAACAAAGTACCTTCTGGATTTGTGATCACGAGAGTGTAAGTTCCAGAATCTTCAGCGATAATATAATCAATGTCGAGTGAAACAAAGCCAAAATCGTTCATTAGTCTGTAACGACTGCTTGCCTTCAGTGGATGACCATTATGCAACCATTCCACCTGAAAGAAATGTTTTATGAATGATGATTTTTCTGAAATATTTTCATTGNTGGTTGATTAATTTGATTACCAAAGATTTTACTTTCAAGTTAAACAAACCTTCAACTTGTTGTCGTCCACGGGAAGAATTTGAGCCTCCAAATGAAGTGTTTGACTTTCATGAACACTGTCCATTTGCTGTGGCAAAGCTCTAACGATTTGCGGAGCCATTCGTGGCGCTTCAGGTCGTTCGTCTGGCGGTTGCAAAGGCATTTCGAGTTCACGAATGCGTTGAATCGAATTCGGATGGAAAGATTCGGTTATCTTAACATTTCATGTAACATTCACAAGATATTTGGTCGTAATAGCCAACCGTTTTCAAGTACTTTTGTCTAGATCGGTTTCATGGATTTCTCATTAGAAAGTGGAAGCAATAAAAACAAGTCAGAAATTTAATAATTTGACATTTCTCACAGGAGCTTCAACATTCTTTCAGCTTATTCTGAGGATTCGTCATTACAGCGGAGGAAGTTCCCTATCGACTGAACATTGCGATTTCTCACTTTCCTCGATGATCCCCATTAATAAAACGAGATTAGATGGTATCTTACCATATGTCCTTTCACAGCACAGTCAATGTCCATCGTGGATCGTGCTTCGCCGGCTGCATTCCGCACAATCAGTGTGTACGTGCCACTATCTTCAGGATACATATAAAGAATATTCAGTGCCACAAATCCAAAGTCATGACTCAATACGAAACGATGTGCCTTCATCAGAGGACGATCGTTGAGAAGCCATTCGTACTACAAAAGTGTTGCGATTTCATTATACTTCCTTCCTTACATCGTTAGTTTACAGAGCGACACCAACCAAATATACTTGCTAAGTTTGGTGCTATTCGGTAAAGCTCATTCAAACCGTCCCGATTTTACACAAAAATCCCTAAATTTATCTGTTTTCTCCCGTCCATTCCGCAGGGTAGCAAAACAATGAACATGAAAAAATGAGTGTCGAATTTCTTCTACGAAAAAGTAAATGCATTCGACTACGAAATAATGGCAGTGTTGTTATAGACGAGTAAGAATATGACACATCGTAGAATTGAGGTTATTCTAATTATTCGCTTTTGTCAGTCCCTATTGACTAAAATATGATCTTTAAGAGTTATTCGAAACAGATGAAAGTGAACACAAGCAAGATCGACAACAAACCGTCATTGTGTTGTCATCAGTCGGAACAACTTGTGCCTCAAGGAAGACGCTGTCACCTTCGGTCACATACACCATTTGTCCATCACTCAATGGCTTTATGAAACGTGGCGACTGAAACCATAAATCATCGATGTTATTGATGTTTAGGAAGATTTACTACAGTCATACTTCAGCTGGGTTTATTGACGAGCAATGGGTGATTAGTCTTTTTTGGATAGCAATGGATTTCTTCGGGAAATCATATGGAAGTAGCTCGAAAGTGACTTTGTTTATGCATTTCGCTGGAACGCATGAATAGCGTGAGCAAGCACTGGTCATATACGGTAAAAATTCGAACGAACCTCTTTTTGCAGTTCAGGACTTTCGGCGGGCGCTGCTTTTGGTGCCTCAATCTCTTGAATTCGAGCTACACTAGTTGGATGATGGGTCTGACCAACTATGGCAGCTTTTGCTGAAGGAGGAAGTTTCATTAGATTCAGTTCGGTTTTTAATGGAAGATCAGGTTGAGCAGGTTTAACAGGAATATTCTTCAACAATTGATATATGGGATTCATTTCCGTTCTTCGAGTCAGATGATTGTGTAAGGCGAAATCGCTTCACCGTTTCAGATGAGTATTTTAGGCGGAATCTGACAATTTTGTTTCAGTCTTATGCAAAGGAGTACGTTCAAATCGGCCGACGAAGGAGATCAAAATTTTAGTTGACAGACTCCAGGAGTTTCGAGTTTTACTGATATTCGCTGTAAGTTGATGCTAGAGCGTCAAAGAAATTGTTCGCGCTGGATGAATGCTTGTTAATGTCAGCAGTCGCACAACTATGAAGATATAATAAAAAGCACAAACATTTTCATCCCGTCTAAGAAAACAAAACATTTGTAAAGCTCAACCGAAGAATGAAAGGAACCAGTGGGTTTTTGTTTAACTAGAGTCAAATTAAATGTTTGCGAATATTCGTGAAACCTCGTTAATGCTAGTCACCTACCACATATCTTACTAAACACCCACAGAGTTTCTCATAAATACTTTAAATCTTACATTGTTAAATTGGAATTTTGCAGTTTTTTTTTTTGTCCTAAACCTTTGATGTCCTCTTGCGAGATTTGTAATATGAAGCTATTGAAAATTCCAATACTTTTTTCATATTCATTTTCAGATGAGTGCAATAAGAGAGGTATTATTTCCACATGATGTTTACCTATTCGTACGATCTGTCTCTCAAGAGTCAAATTAAATGTTTGTGAATATTTGTGAACATCTCAAGAATAACTGAATTACTAGAGAGTACATGGCTGAGCAATGCAAAAATATGCACTCTGAAGGGGATTAATCCCAAGAGACAGCATATTGTCAATTCCTCAGTTAATCCATCAAGAAAAACTTTGTTTGATTGTTATAGAGTGTTACGATGAGAGTGCATCAGAAAGCACAAATGATATCAATTGTGAGTTTGACTGAGTGGTGTGATGATGCTCAAAACGAATCAGTGTAATTCCTGAAAATGTTCATGGCGATAACATTCGACGTTTGTTGTCAAGGCATACGCAAACACCGTTGTCCTGCAAGAATCAGAGATGCCTACGTACCCTTGCAAGAGAAGCTCAGCGAGGTTTCCGCTTGACCAAGAGCGTTCTTCGCTATACATGTGTATGTACCAGAATCTGGAGCGTACACGTCGAGAACGTCCAATGAAACGTAACCGAAATCGTGGAATGTTCGGAAACGATGTCCTGAAAGAATAAAACAAGGATCGACGGAATGAATGATGTGTCCATTCACATTTCTACCTTTCAAAGAATCTTGTATCCTAGCCGAACTTATCGAAGGAATTGCAAGCAGCTTCATAAAAACTGCAATGAGAAATTACAATAAGTTACCGGTTGGAATTGGGTGTCCATCTTTAAGCCATGAAATCGTCAACGTATTATCACCAATTGGTCTTACTTGACACTCCATGTGTAACGGTTGACCTTCTTCCACTTCTCCAATATTACCCGGTAACATCTGGATGAATTGTGGTGGTCCCTGAAATGGTGTTTTACGAGAGTAAGTGCCATTTACCTCATCTTAAGACCTAACAAGTTAAACAGGCCATTTTTGTGATAACTTTTCTATCGCTCATGCGCAACGAATAGTTGTGAAGTAATAAGTACCTGTGGTTGTTGATCTTCAATTTCTGCTCTTCCATACTTATTCAAGTTCTCGATTTCTTGAATTTTATTCAAGCTTTCTTCGTGTTGCGTTTGCGATTGTACAACAGCGTGCGCTGAAAGTTATCAATTATTTACGTTCTTTCTGATGGACAATATGTTACACAAATAGATCTCATTAGCGGGTCAAAATAGTGAAATAAAGCACACAGATAGACGAAACGAACGTTTCACAACGATTTGACACTGTCTGCTGGCTTCACCAAGTGCATTCGTAGCTTTCACAGTGTAAACACCTGAATCCTCGGAAATTGCACCACGAATATCCATTGTTAAGAAACCGAAATCATTTGTAGTTCTTATACGTGAACCAGTCAAAAGTGGTTGACCGTTCAAGTACCATTCGACAACCATTGTTGGATCATTCACGGGTATCAACTGCAATCAACTTTCATTGCAGTTTACGGTAGCAATTGACGTAATGAGTGCTTATGATGTGAACTCTGTGAAAGCCTTAATTGGTTCACATGTGGGGATAAACTGATTAGCTCTCTACCTATGAAATCAATCGAAACTGAAATCGCTTCGGAAAGTTGGCTTTTGCTTTGGGTAGCAGATTAGGCACAAGCAAACATAAAAGTAGGGACCTTCAATGAGACACGAATATCTTCGTGTTCGCTTAGCTCCATATCATTCAAATCACCGATAAAGTTCGGTGGATTATGGCATTCACGATCTGGTGGCTGTTCCAATGGCTTCATTCGATCCTGCTCGAGTTCGCGAATTCTTTCCAATCCTTCAAAATGAACCTGCTTCGTATGCGTGAGAGAAGCTGAATTCGGCAAAGTAACACTCAAAAGTTTTGCAGAATTGCACCATCCATTATAAGTTTGGCATTGGAGAATGGTAAATCCAACGATGCAATTGATTCATTGAATTCCAAATACCTTCTGGATGATTTGCATCCAGGTAAAGTGATTTCTGAGAGTTGACGATTAATTCGAGGTTTGATTGTACTTCACCGAGTTCATTCCGAGCCACTAAAGTATAGGTGCCTGAATCCTCAGGATATGCATACAAGATATCGAGTGCCACGTAGCCAAAGTCGAACATCGGTCGGAAACGATGTGCCGCAGTGAGCGGTGCACCATTGTGATACCTTCAATGATATGTTTTACATAAATATTGCGATGGTAAACCTTTCAAGAATACTGAGTTAGATCATATGATTAGGAAGGGATTAATGCACAACAAAAGCGACTTTTGAGATCGCTTGTTCGATGCTTTATTGAGATTTCCTCGTGTCAAACACATCAGAGAAGACGGGCGATGAGATCACGAAAAACCGAAAGGTATACATACTGAGCAGAGGGACATAATGAAATTGTAGCAAGTAGAGTTTTCAGTTGGATGAACGATACGCTCAAAAACTGACCATTCAACAGCCATTTTGACATCACTTGCCGGTTGCACTCGTGCTTCAAAATGAACGGGTTCATTTTCGTTTACTTCCACACGACTGGCGAGTTGACGTGCAAATCGAGGTGGCTGCATACTATTAAACTCTTCCGGTCGTTCAACTGCTTGCGGACCGATATGCACCTGGAAATGCATTCATGCGTCCACAAGAGAAATGATACCCAGTAATAAGTTCCGAGTGAATTGCTCAACGAAATGCGATGTAATGAAGAAAAATGACCAGTCCTTAGTTGGATTTACGGGGAATACCGTTCTGTTGATTAGTTTAATTTCAGATTCAACATGTCAGCTTCAAACAGTGGCGAATTATCGTGCGAAGATGAGCGATGCACGAACCTTATAACTGTCGAGATATCCAATCTGAGCCAGCGACTCTTCGTGTTTAGTGTCCGTCTGTAAACTGTCCGACCAAACTGTCGTCAAGTGTGCAGAACTTTGCGCTTCACCATAAGCATTTCTTAGAACACACGTATATGTACCAGCGTCTTCTGGATACGTTGGATTGAGTGTCAGTGAAACGCAACCGAAGTTTTGGAAAGTCTGAAAAAAAGAAGTGATCAGAGAACGCATGAAGAGCAGGGAAGAGTGATGCGATCATAATTTGTTGTGATGTATAGTTCCTGATGAACAGCTACTCTGAATAAGTTGGTTGTATTTATAACATAGTTATAGACATGAGGGCCTCCTATATTAGGAGCGTTTACCTAACAAATAACAAGGAGGATATTGTTAATGCAGTTATAAAAAACCTGAATGCGAGTGGCATTTGGAAGTCCTTGTCCATCTTTCAACCAAATAACTCTCAATGATGGATCATTGATTGGAGTCATACGGGCTTCGAAACATGAACGACCCATTTCCTGGTCGCAATGAAAGTCGCTTAGCTGTAAATCGTACAAATTTGATCTGATTTATGGAAATCTCTTATGAAACCGAAGGATCTTTCTGACGAATGAGATACTGTAAGTTGATAACGTTGATGTTTTCCAGATCACCTTTAGTCGGTTTGTTCTGATCATTTCTTCAGAAAATTCAAAGCT